CTATAATAGGTAATTATAGTATAATTGATTATATTTATAAAAAAAATTATATTTTACTGAAAAAAAATAATTTCTTATTAAATAATAAATAATAAACTTAAAAAAAAAATGGGGGAAAAATGTCCACATCGAATATATATTGGGGGGGGGGGAAATGTCCTACTACGCCAAAAACAGTCGGGGGGAAAATGTCCGGGGGGGAAATTGTCCGCCATTCGATGGTTCTAGTAGCCTAACTAACGGCTAGTTACAATGTCGATGGGAATATATTTAATATAATATATACCTTATATGATTTAATAATTAGTTGTTATGCTGTAAATCATATAAATTACCACAGTTAGTAGTTACCCATGCAAAAACAATATATTTATTTAGACATTGGTTATAGAATTTCAAGTTTTCCCCGAAGACAAGTATAATTTTTTTAATATCGAAAACAAGAAATATTAGATATAATAATTAGATTAGAATAAAGTATTTTAAATACTTTATTCAGAATACTATTTTTATGAACTAATATTCGAATACATGACGTATTCGAGTATTTATTCCAAATTATTTTCAAAAGTATTTTACCCGACTCTGCTTAGAAAATACGAATAATAGAACCCGACTACCTGAATGCTGACACCGTTTTTCTGGTTGGAATCGTTTTTCTTATGCATAGTGATGGTTATTACTTATTATACTAGTTACTAATATTGTTGAATTCAAATTTAACACAATTAATTTCCATTACAGTGACATCCGAACGGTTTCAATTCCGATTGACGAGGGCGCGATATTATATTATTTTAGTCATAAAATATGCTCGAACCCTATACCTAGGTATAAATTAGTCTTGCGACTACACAACAAAGCAACTTCCCGGTTCTTTCTTCCATTTCTTTTCGGACAACTTTACCCACAGATATATACAATAATTATTGTTATTGTATATATCTGTGACTTTACCATTGCTTGTCAAAAAACAATCGAGCGTTAATTTTTTTTTTTGTTACTGGAACAATAGAAAAGAGATTTAAGTGTCAAAGTGATTAAAGAGATTAAAGACTAGAACCTCGAGACAAAAAATTGTTAGCAAATGTCTCTTTGCAGTTCGCCCCGAAATAATTTTTTGTCCGATCCACATCCGTGACGTCACTGTTACCCAGACGTGTTTCTGTGTTATCTATAGATACTAAAAAATAACCACAGAATTCTGTGGAATAACCTTTAATATATTATATGGTGTTATCAGCACTTTAATAATATTGATAACAAATAACAACAAGCAGTATAATATGGTTTTGTCGTTTTGTGAGTAGTAAATTCTAATTTTTTTAATTATAAATCTTTAATATTTATGGAAAAATAGCCATTACGAAAAACAAACGCCATGACTGACGTAAGCTCGTACAGAGACCAACACTTTAAAGGCTCTCGAGGTGAGCTGGACAAGATGTTGCGTTTGTCGACGACCATGTACGTTGGAAACTTGGCGTTTTATACAACGGAGGGACAGATATACGAACTGTTCTCGAAGTGTGGCGACATTAAGCGCATCGTCATGGGCCTGGATAAATTCAAGAAAACACCCTGTGGCTTTTGCTTCATTGAGTACTATACAAGGGAAGATGCAGAGAATTGTATGCGTTTCGTCAACGGAACCCGACTGGACGACCGCATCATAAGAACAGACTGGGACGCCGGATTTGTAGAAGGCAGACAATACGGCCGTGGAAAAACAGGTGGCCAAGTGCGGGACGAGTATAGGACTGATTATGACATTGGCCGAGGTGGTTACGGCAAAAACGCTCAACCCAAAGCAGACATGATAATATTCGGCAGAAACAAAGAAGCCCTTCCAATGGAATAATGCAAAATTTTAATGAAATCTGCACCGAATTATCTTTTTTAAATATACATAACTTTTTTTTTCCAATCATGTGAAAATTTCCTACCTACCACTTGATTTTGTAAATAAATAAATATTTTATATGTTTTAGAAGTGTATTCATTCAATTCAAACTGAAATTATCATGTTTATGATCATGTTTTATAACATTGGGATGTGACATTTTTAAATTGTTACTCACAAATGAATGATCATGCATTGCTGTGAATATATTAGCATGAAAGAAGAACTTTTGTATTCGACCAACATTTGGAAACTGATGTTCAAAGTAAATATACTGAACCCTAATCATATTATTGAATTGTGGCACTCTTTTCAGTTTGCTTGGTTTTTTTTTTTTTTCAACAATTTGTAGTAATTATTTTATAATTAATAATAATGGACGATCAACTTGTTCAAAACTATAGCCATAAATTCAATATTTAATAAATACAACTGTTAGTGAATTAATTAATATAGAAGTTGCTATTTACCAACTATAAGTTTAAAATTGTTTTTGTCCTGAAATAAAATGTCAGCGGTTGTAAAAAATAAAAAATACTAAATATCTACTAATATTAATACATTTTCATTTTAAACTGTTGGTCCAGTCAATAAAAATGTAAGTCGAGTAAAAGTAACAATAACAAATCTAAAGTTATAAGTAAACCAAGCTAAATTATAGCTTTAATGAAACTATTAAAATAATTAAATGTATTATAAATATTTATAATAATATGTTAATCATACATACAAATGTACTTCTTAGTATTTTTCTTATAAAACTAATAGATTAAATATCTGAAGTATTTATATCAATGGTATTGTTGTTTCGAAAATATGTAGAGGCCAGTTATAACTTTATAAGAAAAGATAAAAGCCTTTTATCTCACGACAGTCAAAAGCATGAGCTCTCAATATTATTAAAAATAGTTTTAAAAATTTAAAACATTTGCATATGCATAACCAAAATGACAAAATAGATTTTAAAATTTAATGATGAAAATAATTTATTAAAATAATTACATGATGTGACCATTATTAATGAAGTGGCATCGTGTACATCCATCCTCCTATTGCTAGTTAAAATAGTAAACTTATAATATAAAATTCGCATTTAGAGAATTGTAGTATTGTAATGGATTTGTAGGGTTAAGATCTGAGCACCTTCAGAAAAGGCAAAATTAAATTATTTGTGGAGTGTACAGTAAGTTTTAATCAAATAAAATATAATTATTTAACAAATCAACTATTCTATATTTCTACTTTTTTAATACATTAAAGATCAAACTACTTCAAAGTGACTACCACTTCTGTACCTACATTAAGACATTTTCTGTATAAAGTTATATTATTTTTTTATACTGCTACTATATTATCAACACATAGTTTGCTTACATTGTTTCAGTATGTTAAAATGTCCACCATCTAGAGGCATAGAAGTACATTTTATGGTGGCAAATTTTCGATTTAGAATTCCTTGGCAAGGTGGAGCAAGACGTATTTCTTTAGATTCTGCCATGACGAGATAACGTTTTTATTTTGTCCTGGATTCTGCAGTGCCATTACTCCTCTTTATTTTGCTGCTCAAGGGTTTTGGCCTACCATATTAATGTTTCCGTTGGTTAGGTACACTGTATCTCTATTACACTCTTCATACTCTGTCCGCAAGTACGGAGTGGTCACAAAATTCTTTTATATTTGGATTGGACATTGACACATCGGCATCATTAGTGATAATTGTATTCCAGACACCAGTTTCTGGTTGTGCCCATGTTATATATAAACACCAATGAGAACATCATAATTACAGTAAATATGGTAGCCACCACGATTAAAGATATACTATATATCTTGTACTCTATATACTGTATATCTTTAATCGTGGTAGCCACTGTGGCTTGTTTCTATTTTACCAAGAGGACACGCAATCAAATCTCATCTGAAATATGATCCAGACAAATTTCAATGAAACAGATGAAAATATAGTTTTAATAAATGAAACTTAAAATATTCAACGCAATCCTTGTAAAAGGAATGTACCGTCCAGAACATAACACTATTTTGTGTGTAAGGGTAAGAGGTCTTGTGTGATCCAACAACACATACATTCTTATTGGTATGATACTGAGGTCTATTGATGTATAAAAATCATAAATAAATACAATTATAATAGTGTTTTATTTATTCATTCAGGATAGACAGACGATAGACTGTTGCGTTGGAAAGCATAATCGGAAACCGTATATGGCTGGTCTGGTTCAGTTTGGTTTACATTCTGATCAAATCTCATCCTGACCACGCTATGTCATCCTTTCAATGTTTTCGCAACAATCATGTTACCCGATGATTGTAGGGATGTATATTATTATATAATGCGTGGCTAAATATATTTAGGCATGATATTATGTGAGACGATGTTAAATATATTATTATAAATTATCATAATACATTTTGATTCATTAAAATGTATATATATATATACATTTTTGTATCAAATATCGAAAAGATACAAATTTAAAAACACTTATGACATTTTTAAATTATTTATTTATAATAATAAAAATAATCTAAAATATTAACCGTGTAATTTCTTGTATTACATTTGCAATTAGGTAAAAAATTCTTGTGGTTTTCCACTTTTACTAGTTTTATACTTTAATTCAATAGTCTACTCTTATACGCAGTAACATTTGATACCTATGAATTATGATTATTTACAATGAATAATTATATTATTAATTATTATTGTAAATTGTAAATATTATTTAAATTTATGCGGTAAATGTTGTTGTATTATATTATCACTTATCAGTATTAATATTACCCGGCTGACTCCTGATTGGACGTGAAAATGTTATAATCATAGACTCGCGGTAGAAATTGATAAGCCGTAACGGGCACGCGGCTGTGTATCATACATTCGTACTATCATTATTATGTTTAATGTTATTTAATATTTTCCCATGTGGCCTTTTAGTTTTTACAGACCGTTTTCCGCCGGTCTAAAAATTAAATATAAGCTTTCTTTTGTGTTATTAGTTTCACGCCAGACGTGAAAATAGCCAGTTTCCGCTGCTCTTATTTTACGTCGGATGTGAAAATAGACGCAGCTATAATCATGAATATTTCCATAAGCTTAGCGTCAAAGAAGACGCGGCATGCCGTTCTAAAACCTTCATCCAATCCGCCGATTATTTTCACTCCTGGTGAAAAAATTAGAGATCAAACCGGATTCATGAGGTAAACATTTGTATACCAATACGCTCAAATTATTTTTGGTAATTATTATATTAAAATTAATTTGGAACATGCCGCTAATATCAGGGTCGCAGTACTGGACCAACCCATTAAACCCACCGGGTTTTAATGGGTTGGCCCGGCAAAAAAACCCAGGAAAAAACCCAGAAAAAAAAACCAACAAACCAAACAATAAAACTTCAAACTGCATATTATTTTTTATTACTTTTAGTAAACAATACAAGTGTAAGCAAAAACATTAAAGTATTAATGTTACATTTCTTAATTAATTTTACTTCGACAGTCAAGAGTGACCAACCGTATAATGAAGATGGGAATATATTATATAATAATACATTATTATATTATTATAATATTTACACTTGTCAAAACCACGATTAAAGATATACGATTATGTATATCTTGTTCAAAACAATTTAAAATGGTACATTTATGTTTTATAGGTTAGGTTTGTAGGGAACTTCCCTAATAAAAAAGTGTCAGGAAACAGCATTTATTTGAACATTTTTAAAACCCATTAAAACCCATTTAAACCCATTTAAACCCAACCGGGTTGGGTTTTTTAAAAAAACCCGTGGGTTTTTTAAACCCTGGCTAATATTATAGTATTATGGTCTTATTGAGTTATTATACAGTTTATACTACCTATCTATGTTGCAAAAATAATAGAATTCCACGTTTGGGTTTTACCTATACGTAGGTAATAAAATAATGGGTATCTAGTAGGTTTACTGGGTGATTCTTTTATCAAACAACACTCATTATTTCAAAAAGTGTAAATTTTTTTGAAAATATTTAGTTTCAAGTCGCTTATAAAACAACGTTTTTATTAAAAAATTATATTTTAAATATTTTTTATCCTTATAATTTTTTAAGTTTTTTACTTTTTTGAATAACAACATAGGGTTTTAAATTTATATTCCAAAGCAGAATATTTTTCTTAGTATTTTGATACATGAAAATCGAATTTGGGTTGAGTAGTTTATGAGTTATAAGTATTTAAAGTTTATGCCGAGCGGTGAAGTGGACAACATTCGCGGGGTAACCCCGAACCACTCCACTCCGCTCAGTCTCAACTTTAAATATTATAACTCATAAACTACTTCAAAGTGACTACCACTTCTGTACCTACATTAAGACATTTTCTGTTTAAAGTTATATTATTTTTTTATACTGCTAATCTATTATCACCACATAGTTTGCTTAATTGTTTCAGTATGTTAAAATGTCCCCTTCCCCACCATCAAGCGGCATAGAATACATTTTATGGTGGCAAATTTTCGATTAGAAATTCCTTGGCAAGGTGGAGCAAGACGTATAAAATAAGACGTATAAGTATTTAAAGTTTAGACGAGCGGAGTGGAGTGGTTCGGGGTTACCCCGCGAAATGTTTGTCCACTTCACCGCTCGTCTAAACTTTAAATACTTATAACTCATAAACTACTCGCCCCAAATTCAATTTTCATGTATCAAAATACTAAGAAAAATATTCTACTTTAGAATATAAAATTAAAACCCTATGTTGTCATTAAAAAGTAAAAACTTAAAAATAATTATAGGATAAAAAATAATAAAAAATATAATTTTTTAATAAAAACGTTCTTTTATAAGCGACTTGAAACTATGTAAAAAAATATCTTCAAAAAAATTTACACTTTTTGAAATAATGAGTGTTGTTTGATAAAAGAATCACCCAGTATAGTAAGTTATTAACCTAATAAAGGAAATCAGTAGTTGTCTCCAAATAATTTGTTTATGCTACCTCTGATCTATGAACTTACCTATAGCTGTTTTAAATTTTATAAAATATTACCAAAATAGAGGTCACGGAACGTATGTATCGGCTGGGTCATTGAAGGCAACTGTAGCAGGAGTAGAACAAAATATTAATAAACTAGTCACAGTTAGTCCATTACGGTGTCGATATAATGGAGAGATTGGTGATGTAGTGATTGCTCGTGTAACAGAACTGGTGCACAAACGTTGGAAAGTAGATATAAATGCTAGACTGGATGCTGTGCTACTGCTAACTTCTATTCAACTACCAGGAGGAGAATTAGTAAGTTAATTTTGTAGTTTTAAGACAATACTACAAAGTAATATTACTATTTTTATAGAGTTGTCTTTATTTTATGTTTTATAGAGAAGAAGAGGTATGGAAGATGAACAATCAATGAGAAGTTACTTGAGCGAAGGTGACTTAATTAGCGCTGAAGTTCATTCTGTATTTGCTGATGGTTCTTTATCATTACACATGCGAAGTTTAAAGTATGGCAAGGTAAAAAATTGTATAATTCCTTATTTTACTGAAAGAGTTATTTAATTACAATTTTGTTTTGACAGTTAGGACAAGGAGTATTAGTAAAAGTACAATCTAATCTAATAAAACGTAGTAAAAATCATTTTCATAACTTGTCAGCTGGAGTTAGTGTTATACTTGGTAACAATGGTTACATTTGGATTGAACCAACAAACGACAATAAAGATCCTGTTGGATTTGAAGTTGATCTTCAACAAGTATATTATTAATTTAATTTAATATATCATTCAGAATAAAAATTATTATTTTTATTTTTATAGGTAGTTGATATTGGTGATAGACAAACAATATCAAGAGTGCGCAATGTAGTATTAGCATTATCTTATTATAAAATGCTTATATATGATACAAGTATACAGTATGCATTAGAAGAATCAAACAAGTATACTGTAAGTATTAAAAGTAAAATATGAATAGAAAAGTCTTATTGTAAATATATAGTATATTATCTATTATCTAATACTAAGTTTTAATTAATACTATTTTCTTAATCCGGACATATTTTCTTCCCGAAAAATTGAATTAATGAAAAATATATTGCATAAAATATAAATTTTATTAAAAAATAAAGTATAATAATATTTAATATTAAATTAATTATTAATTTAAGTCTTACAGCACTATTAAACTTTATTATATAATTAATAAACTACCTATGTCTGTTTTAAACATATTACTACAATAGAATTTAACTGTTAATTTTTAAGTTTATTACTGTAAGACATGTTTAATAGAATTTAAACATATAAATAATTAAATAATTTAAAAAACCATAGTGGAAGCTTAGAACCTATAATACACTTGGAAGAAAATATCCATAAGTAAAACATAAATTTCTTAAAATATCGTAAAATAAATATTTACGGAATAACCAAATGTAGATTAGTATTTTCAATGTATAGCACAATACCTAAGACTGAAAATGTAAATTATTTAAAAAAATAAAATCTAAATACCTAACACATTTAATTTTGATTTTAAATAATTTATTCATTAGACTTGCCTATTTTATTGTGTTTTATTTTTAATAAATTATTTTATCAATAATGACCATACAAAATTAAATCAAAGAAACATTTATTCAAATGATTATAGTAATTTTAATATAATTTTTATAATTTATTAGATTCTCAATATCAAAAATTTTACTTATCTAATTTATGATCTGAAAATATAAGCGTAAACCTAAAATCCGATTCCAATGACGAAATCGAATAACTTTACATAATAATTCTATTAATTTGTCATTAATATTATTTGCTTGTATCAATTGAAATTTAACAGCTATTATAATCAATTACCATATTATAATGGGAAAATTATAATAGTTGTATTTTACACTGTATTTAATATTATGTTTTTTTTCCCTTTAATTATAGTTATTGTATGAAATTAATTTTTAGAATGATAAGGATAAGAATAACAATTTAGGATCAAATTTACTAAACATGGATAATATGAAAAATGGGTAATAAGTTTAGGAAAAATAGATGATAAGAGCAATTTTAGAATTTTACACTAACCGTTACATTTTGATTTGCATTACTTAGATATTTCAATTTTTACTATAACAATTACTTAAATCTTTAATTTCTGATTTAAGTACACATTAAACATCAAAAACAATGTAATTACAAGTAAATCTTATGAAATATTTACTTTCACTACATCCATTCCAAATTCTAATTAAACAAGAGTATATAATTATGTTATACATTATCTTAGTAAAATATGTATTAAACATTATTCAATTTTATTTGACATAGTATTTCTAAAAAATCTGAATTATATCTACAGTGTAACTAGTAATTAATGTATGCTCCCTTTGTCTTTTAGGTATCAGATTTATTAACCGCAGAAGCTTGTTATGATATCGCAAATCTTACACGCCATCGTTTACAAGCTATGGGTGAATAATAAAGGAAAAAGCATGAAGACTATAATGATATACCAGAATTTTTAAGTATTTATTTTTATACTTATACTTTTTATATGAATATATTAAATAGAAGTTTTATTCTTTGATATGTTTTCTAAAAAAAAAAATTAATTGTGAATTAAGTTCAATAAAAATTAAAATAAAAGGTTGACAATATTGAGTATAATAGCTATACATATTAAATTCCTCGATATACTGTCTTTTTTTTAGTGAATTTATGTTTAAATTGTGTTCGTTTTGGATTTGCCATAAATGATTTCAAGTTAATTTTTACTGTGACATTTTATAATAATTCTCAATGAATTGTGACTTAACAAAATGAAAATTATTTTATAAAATATAAACAACACGAATGTAAAACTATATCCCCATGTCCGATGAGCCTGTCTTGGTAGTACATAATTTACTACTACATGAGCGCGCATTTCTCCCATATCTTACGGCCGCGCATGTACTTTTTTTGGGCTGCAGCGATATGTTTCTATTCTTCACCAGATTGAGAAGCTCCTGAAACAGCTCTTTGATGTTGCGGTTGGTCTTGGCTGATGTCTCCATGAAATGACAGCCCCACCTCGAGCCTCATTATCACCTTCTTTAGCTGAAACTTCTCGAGTGTCAGTCTCATCACACTTGTTGCCCACCAACATGATTGATATTGATGGAAGCTCCGACGCTCTTTTAGTCTCTTTGATGACCTGTTAAAAATGTATTATTTTAATCACAAATAATGATTCACACTTGGTTTTATGTTTATGATAAACTGGCTATAACTTAATAGTAAAGAAAGGATGGAAATAATTAGGGCCCAGAACTTGACGCATTTGCATCTTTCTTTCTAATGCTTACATTTGAGGCTCATCTTTACAGAAATTTGATTCATGTAATATAGAATTTAATGGTAAAATTTTTATTTTTCATTTTTAATGAATTTATTGCTTAAAGGTAATTTTTTGGTGAATTTTATTCATTTTTGTACTTTTTTCTTACATATATTTGCTATTTTCTTGTTGAAAGTTACACTTTATTGTAACACATTCAGTTTCCATTAGCTTGTCGATTATCGACGCTCATTATCTTTATTGTTTCTTGTTGCAATCTGCGATTATTTAATAAACTGAAGCAGATACTATTTTAGGCCCGGCCAATCAGAAAAAATTTCCCAAAACTCAATCAACTTATTTCAAATAACAAAAAATTATTTTTGAAGGCTCCTTCATCAAAATTTTTAAAGAGCTAGCACCTATAATAATTATGATACATGAATTGTATAAAACAAACATTTTTAAAAATGTTAAGTCATTATTAAGTAATTATTGGTATTTTTATGGTCATTTTTTGATGTTTATAAGTAATTTTAAACATTTTTAGGTCATCAAGTTCTGGGCCCTAGTAATAATTTTAAATTTTTTTTCTCAATTTTTGAAGCAACGCTAGACTAGCTACAAACTAAATTTGTTCTGTAATACATAAATTCAAAATATACTATATTTATTTCTCTTTTTAGATTCTGAATTGAGCTATAAATTAATTGATTTTACATTGATGTGTTGTTGTTTTTTCTGTCAGTTATCACCTTTGGGGCAGTAAAAATACTTTGATTTTCCACTTCAGCATCTTTTCTTGTAGGAAAGAGAATCTAGTTGGTAGTTGGTACTTTGGTAGGTCTAATAAGTAATAACCGTAAATACTTAACATTTTCAAATATTTATTTAATCTATTTCTATGCATACAATAAAATTTTTACGAGAGGTTTTGACAGCTTTTTATAGACAATTGAAATTTTTAATTTTTTTCTATAAATAACGATAAAAAAAAATGGGCTGAATCAATAAGCTTGAAAATCGTATACAAGGTACTTGTAAGTTCTTATAATAACACTAAAAAATTTAAATGCTGATAAAGTTCATCAAAATCATGAACATTTGCAAATTATTTTGTAGTTAAAAATGTATAAAAATGTTCAATTTGTATAGATGGCTAATGATTGAAAATTTAAAACAAGATTTCTCATGAGTATTTCATACTTTAACCAAACAATCTAAAATATATATAACCACAGTTTTTTTTTATAGATATTTAAATGAACAATTTTAGTTATATCGTTGTAATTTAAAAATATTATTCGTGTGTACTTGAAACTTTTAAAGTATATTATTGTATTCTATGCACAAGACATTTTGAATTTCAATGTTTTTGGCCAAAATTAATTCAACTGTCTGTAATCATATCATAAAATATTATAGGTACCTAATTAGTAATATAGGCTGACAGACCAGAATCGCTCAGAACCGTTTTTCGTATGGGTACAATTTTACATTATTTAATTTTAATTTAACATAATATCCATTACAGTGACCCACTGGCCACAAGACAACTAATGTTTAATATTCCTATTACAGTAATACCACTCCCTATTATTCCTTATACCTATTCTAATAATATTAAGTATTGAATAATGTGAAATATTGGTCATGTTATTAGTAAGTTTTTTATGAACAACAAGGAAAATATTTATATTTACTACGAGCCAAAAAAATATTTTTTCTCTCCTGATGTTGAGAAAACATTATAATATAAATTATAATACTATAATATACAAGTTTAGTGTCTACATTTCTTTAACCATAGGTATTAGGTATAGATTAATAAATGACTAGAATTTATTTAAAAAGTAGCTATAAAACTGTATTTATATCAGTTAAAAAAAACCTTGTACAATATAGCCATATACATAATCTATAGTACTACTTAACAAAATAATTACGTATTTTCAACATAAACTGTCCTGAATGAATTATAATAATATGAGAATCTATATTATCGTCCGAAGACTTTCGGGCAAATAAACATAAACCAACACAGTTAAGTTTTCCTACCCACATGATAATAATAATCAAGGCTGGGCATTAACGAGTTAAAAAGTTAAAGTTAAGTTAAAAAGTTAATTTAATTTTAACTTTTTAACTTAACTAGTTACTTTTGGCTTTTCATTAACTTAACTGTTAACTTACTAAATATCTTTTTTAATTAACGTGAAATTAACGAGTTAATTTTTCATTTTAAGAAGTAAGTTAAGTTAATTTATTTTGTTTTTAATTTTACTATATTTCACTATTTCAGTCTATTTTGTTTTCAATTTTCATGTCAAAAAATATTTACCTTGAATTTTTTAAAGTTAAAAATTTAAATCATTGGTATCTAAATTATACGGAAATACTGTATAAAGTATAAACACTATAAGGTCTATAATTTAGTTTTGGGTTTTAAAAAAATTAAGTACTCTAGAATTGTATAAACAAATTAACTTTTTTTAACTTAATAAAAAGTTAACAAAAAGTGTATATTAACTTTTAACTTAACTGAGTTAATCTATAGTTAAATTAACTTTTAACTTTTAACTTTCTGTTGTCGATGCATATCAACTTAACTTAACTGAGTTAAAAAAAATCATTAACTTGCCCAGCCTTGATAATAATAATATGTACCTAGTACCTATAATACATACATTACCCTTCCTATCTACCTCGAATAACCAATTGTACAAACATTTGCTGGCAGCGTAGTTTTCCTTCGGAGACGAAAAATAAAAACAACTGAAAACCTTTCAGCCCTCCTCCAGTCGTCATCTACTTAATACAATCGATAAACATGCACCAGTTTTTACTTCCTAGTTTCTACACCAGTTAATATTATCATATTATTAAAGACGTTTGCGGTATTCTGTAAAAAATATTGGTATACAATTATTATTGGACTTGGGCGCATATATTGTAAGTACAGCTTTTCTAGATTTCGGCCAAAACAATATTAAAGTCTGGCGCGAAACCATCATTTATATTTATTTATTTATATTATATATTTTACACGACGGTTGCCAAACGATAGCACAACGGTTATGGGCAATGTATATAATTATATAAATGTCTCTGCGTGTTGAAGTCACCCAGACAACAACGACGGGCTGACTTTTAAATTAGATGGCGTAACGATATGAAACCGTAGCGTGGAAATACCAATATTGGTTATGGTACTATGATATAATAGGAGGGTACGGGCTACGACTAGCTATATAGTTATTCAAGCATTATATACGATATTATACCTAACTTAACATAGCAGTTATTGGATCACCAAACACATCAATTAAAAGTAGATAGATATCCGCGAGAGAAATATAAATTATTATGCAGTAATAATCAGCCAATGCTGATCCCTCTTTTTTATTTTACGTTCTCACTTTGTATTTTTATTTTCTTTAGCTCAAATAGTCAAATGTATGTAATTATTACCTATCTTAGTGTAAATTGCTTATTGTAAGCTGTTCATGTCTTTCAGTCTTTGTAAAAATGGATCCATCCCGTATAATAGGTATAATAAATTAAATAGGTATAGTCATAATGATTTGCTTTTTGATATATTTTTATTTATGGGGGAGGGGTTTTTTTATCGCTCTTAAATGATTTAATTGTATGCCTAATAAGTAATAACTGTATTTCTAATAAGTAATAAGCATAGGCGCCAGGTTTTAAAAAACTTAATGGGTGCCTTGGTATCATACTGACATAGGCATATAAATGCATAATTTTGGGGGAGGGGGCTTAGCCACTGGTCAAGACAATGTCCCCGTAAAATTAAAAAATGGAATTGTCTTTTCGGGTGGACCTAGTTACAACTTAACCCCCTAAAATTTTAATTTTGGCTCTCCAAATTGAGCTTATTGTTGTCATGTTTTTACTACTTAACCAAAAACGTTTACATTTTCTTATGGATTTTATTGGTGTATACAAATATTAAATAATATATTATACCATGTTGTACACTGAAATATGCGATCATCATTGATTATAAAATATATTAATTATACAAAAAAATAAGTGTATACCAAATTGATAACTTATTTATAAATAATAATAATAAGTAAAACAAAAAAGGTGGGCAAGTGGGTGTCGCTCTGCTGCAGGGGCGTAATTTCAGTTTTTTTTCAGGGTGTGCAAGATTTTAGGCAGGTCAATTTGAACTATTAACCAGGCCAACTTTAACATTAATATCTAAACAATAACCATGCTGCTTTAAGTATTTAAGTATGTTAATATTATCTCGGTCTCTTTATAATCCTAATAAAAAATCTCATATCAACTAATTTATATTGTAATTTTCAAATAGCAAGCAGTTCAATGTATTAGAAGGCTTCTAATAAAAGCATAATATAAGAAACTAAAACAAGTAGCAACTAGCGGCCAACAGATGCCATTTTACTACTATTTGGAGAATTAAAAGCAAATGCGGTTTAAGGAATTACTTTTAATAAATGTAATTCAAAAATTAAACATTATTCAATATTCATACCAAATAACACATTATTAGTTATTTTTCTACATGTCCTAATATATTATCAGCTATGCTATGCTAACTCCAATATAGCTGATACCAGCAGGCTGATACAAACTGTCTTACATAATAAAACCACAGAATAAGACTAGCTTCACAAGGTTATCAAATAGGGATACATTTGATAATAAAGCTGATAAAAAAAATAAACCAATTTAAATTACATGCATGAATCAGTGGCGACAAAATATATATTTACTTGGTATATGGTAAGGTAATTATAATAAATAGGAGGGCGCCAACATTTTATTTGGAGGTGTCTAATGTCATAGTTAAAATTTTGGACTTCATCGCCACTGGGCCAAAAATATTTTATTAATTTTTAATAATAATCATATCGGCGCATAGGAGCATTAATGGAGTGACAATTATTTATTCTATTATATTAGTGGTGCCGTCGCACACCCTGCCCACCCCCAGATTACGTCCCTGCTCTGCTGTACAGTAGGTTACAAGTGGGTCACTGTATAATGGATGGTATTACATTTGAATTAAATGATATTATATCATTGTAAAAGAAAAACGATTCTGAGCGGAGACGGTATATGTCCTAGGTATAAGACATATTATATACTTACTATGGTATTAAAAAAATTGACCTATAATGAATTCCAAATTAATCATATCACAATATCCATTATTAGGTACTTAAAACGCGTTATACACCAACAACAAACCCTGAAAGGTACTATCATAGATATATAGTAGTATACTTTAGAAGTTTCAAGTACCCACGAATAATATTATACAATCACAACAAAATAACTAAAATAGTTATTCTAGGTTTTTTATTATGTAATTTCGTCCAAATTTGAATTTAAAATGTCTGTAAAAAATAACTGTGTTCATATATTTTTTAGATTTTTTGGTTACAGTATGAACTATTTATGAGAACCTTTGTTTTAAATTTGCAATACTTAGCTATAAAAACTGAACATTTTATAATTCATTATTACAATGATTGATAATTTTCGAGATTTTGATAAATTTTGTCAAAATTCGACCTTTAAATGCTTATAAAAAAAATTGAGCCTATGTATTTTTAATATTTTTCAATTGCTATTGTAACAATATATCAGGAGCCTTGTATTAAACTTTTACACTTTTTGGTCCAACAGATAAAACTTTATTGATATTTATAGAAAAAAAAACTAAAATAATTGTAAACTGAAAATGTCCGTAAACAGCTCAAAAAGAGTCAAAATATTTTCAAAATTGTATGGTGTATAGGAAATGCTAATATAAACATTCAGTGCAATTTTCATGTATCTACAGTCATTCGTTTTTGAACAACAAAATAAGGAAATCGCTACATGAGAAATCGTGTGAATATCCAATGTTGTAAAAATTTGAATTTCAAACGCTCATAAAAATTTAATTTGACCTTCCGGTAGAGATTTTTTTTATTGATAAAGGTAGACAAACTTATGAGTAATCTTGTATTACATTTTCAAATCTTAGATTTAAAAAGAAAAATTTTTAAGAAATTCTTAACTCAAAATAATTTGCTAATTTTCGTGATTTTTGCACACCTAACTAAATACCTATTAAAAAAAAACTAATATAAGCCTTCGACTTGTTTGATTGTAATGTAAAGAAAATGAGAAACAATATAAAATGTATTGCCGAATGGACCAATACTTTGGTCTTTGTTGATGGTTGGTAGAAACTTAAAATCTCGGTGGGCCGAAAAGTCTCAAGTGGCTATTGTATTTTGTAATATAAGCTGCAGACAAACATTATTACTCAGTACTTACTAATAATTGTACCTATTGCTTACCTGTTACTTTTATGCTATAGACCTAATATATTCAAGCCTCTTGAAGTCTTGACAGAAACCGAATTTAAGTAAATTTGAATCAACATACGAGTAAAAAATTGTACGTGTGTGAAGTTGGGGTACCAAAGCTATGGCACTGTATATTTCTCGTACGACTCAAGTCATACGAAACCTTGTACGTTGTGTTGCATTTCATTTAATTTCAGGGGTGCCGTACTATTCCACCGAAACTACGGTTCCTATGCCACACATAATTACAATAATTTTTGTGAAGTTTTAAAGTATATAAAATATACAATATAAAGTATACATCAACTGTACGAGTACCTACTTAAGATATTATGTGAAAATGTACGAATCTATTTTTATTTTGTCGCCATTTCGCGTCGTTCGTCGAAACGATAACACTGTACATTATCCATAAATTGAGTTATTTTAATACATTATTTTGGTATGCACCTATATGAAAATTAATAATTTCACCATCTTACCTGGTATCTCATAAATTTCTTGAGCACCACCTTAGGTGAACCTCCCGAACCGCCACTGTAGACAATTAGCTACATAGTAGTGATGGGCATTGGGCGCAACTAGTTTCAAAAACTACCGAGTGATTTTTCAATTGAATAGATATAAATAATATTATTAAGCATTGTATAGAATAATCGTATTATGACTTATGAGAAGAAAATTGAGGGCTAGTATATTTTAGGTAACATTTTAAAGACAAAAATAAAAAATAAAAAACCAACCTCCATAGCCGAATGTCGAATCTCAAACGAGTAATGACAAATAATGCATATTCGAAATTAATGGTTAAATAATATATAACCAACCTAAAAATGTCGATAGTTCGATTAGTTTTCAATAGTTCGATAGTTCGATAGTGTTTCGATAGTACGATAGTTTTATAAAACAATCGAGTAATTATAGATAGTTTAAAGTATCGAGTACTTCGATAGTTTTCACTTAGGTAGGTAGTACCTATAAAAACTATAACTGCAGCAGTACAGACTATAACACCTCCTTCAACCAATACTCTGAGGAGCTGTACCTTGCAAACAAATCAACGAAAAATAAAATTGTATACGTGCAAATTCATAAAAAAAATAGTTTCATGACATTTTTATTATAATTTTTATGTTACCATCTAGAAATCAAAAGTTGATAGTATTTTCACCAATAAATATAAGTGTGAAAAAAATTTAAACATTTTACCGTTTTAGAAATGCATAAATCTAAAAGTTAGCAAAATCGAAAAAGTTAGAACTTTTCGAAATAATTAGTGTGCTCACTTAAATGGATAACTAAGATAAGAATATACAATTATAATAAATCTTATATAGATACGTTGCATATTCAAATGAAACAATAACAATATTTTAGCATACTGCATTTATTAGGTACTACAAAAATGAAAAGTACTCTATATCATATAAACACTAAATATAATATTATGTTTATTCTAATTGCATTATAATATTTTTTTTACTTCCTAGTAAATCTATTACATTTCACAAAAATATATTAAAATTAATTATTTTTAATATTCTGTTGTCGTCTATTGAGCATTATACTGGTTAAAGTATTATTGCCGAAATTAATTTAACACGCGGTCCAGGGTAAACACTAAACAGTTTAATATTTTATTGTAAATACGATGAGTTTCCACTACCTTCTGGTTTTCGTCCATTCAAATTAAATAGTTTATTTTAGTGTTCAAACAATTCCGTCATCGGGAATTATTATATTTATATTATTCTAGTTCATCAGACTATTATGAAGTAATTTTTCGAACGTCCGAATAAGGGATATTTCACCAGCATTAATTTCAGAATGTGTAACGTTGAGATCATTTTTAAATTTGGAACGATCTATGTCAACTGTAAAATTCATTGTACCTTTTTTATTGGTAGCGTTGACAATGACGGATGTATTAGAATTTTTACTGTACAGTTTTGAACTTACATGTGCTATATTTTGATAGGAGTTTCCATTTAAAATATCAATTTTAAATTCTTTTTCCACTGAAATTTCGTTATTTTTAAAATGATCCGTAGATCTTTTGCTTAAAAATTTGTTATTGTATATATTTCCGCCATAAACGTTATTATTGATGTTGATATCCACAGGTGTATGTTTTTTTGCAACATAATATGTTGTGTTTGTTTCCGGAGCACTAGTTGCTTGGTTGCATTTTACATAATAAGTAAGTCCATTATAAATTGAATGGCTGTGACGGTCAACCTGTTCTTGGAAATCATCAGTTGTATGATTAGTAAAACTTATATTACCATTATCTGCGCCCTGAGTAGTTTTATATATTTTATCAATACCCAATAATGAACTTGGAAAAATATTTCGTTTCTGCATTTTTTCCAAATTGTTCTTATGTCTGGTTGCAATCGATTCATGATATCCATTGATTTCCTTCATTTTTTCTTTGTTGAATTGTTCGAGCTGTTTAATATTATAATAATTATGACTTTTCATAGTTTCATAAATTTTCCCATTAGATTGTATGTCGTTACTTTTTATGACAGATATCCTACAACTCGATGTAATAATAAAAACTGTTAATACATTTGTCCACATTTTAACGTAGTTACAAAAACACTTTACAATTAACACAATAATTACAAGACAAAATTACAAAAAATATTAGTAAATTACAGTTTAATCACACGCACACCAAATATAAATATGGTAGAACAATCAGTGCATACGGTACGTGTTATTTTATAGCGTTAACCTTTGCACTTGCAAACTTCTCTAAGAAACATTGCCGTAGTTGTGGAACGGGTGTGATGGGGATTTATCCCCCCCTGGGTTTTTTTTATGCTTTAATATAATGTATCAACCGTAGCAATTTAGCATATTTTAGCTGTCCATAAAAACATATCCCTAATTAATCCCTATTGATGTCAAAGTAGTAATTGATAATGTATCAAAAAAAAAAAACCTCAACAATTAAATGTTTCATAAATAGTTTCAAAAACAAGAGAGCTGTATAGTTATAAATACCCAGATAAGGAAATGAGTATTATATTTCCAACGTATATTGTTTCATTTTGTTCGATTTTATATTTGTATTTGTAACCGAGTTTAATACCAATAAAAACTATACATTTGTATTTAAATAAATATACGGATTATCGAAGTGGTTTACAGTAAAATTACTAAAAATTCTCCTCTACAATTTTTATAACAATCGTAATAAGTCCGATTTTTGATATCGTATTCCAATCGTCCAATATCTCATGGTAAATGAACAAGTTTTTTTTTAAACTTTTTATCGATGAATTATTTAATTAATTTAAAAAATATCGAAAATCTGGCTATATACGATTGTTAAGAAATGTCTCCTCTACAGTTATTATAATAGATATTTTTACTGCAAGCCGCTTCAATAAACCGTATTATGTAGGTACTTGAATTACGAAACCATGTTTCTATGCCAAATTTTGTTCAATATTGCGCCCTCCTGATTCGGATTTAAATCCCATTAAACCTATCAAAACATAACTCTAAAAAATAGCTGAAAATTCATTTAAAAATTAATTTCTGGCATCGAAATTGTTTTTCATAATAAATGGAAAAATCTCAAATGAAAAACAGGATCATTAATGATGAATATTATTTTATATTATATTCCTTTAACTCGATTATTGAATTCGTCGTATACCTAATTGACTACTAGCTTCGTTACCTGGCGTTGCCAGTTTTCCAGGGCTTGGTAATATACTAATATGTATGCAAATAATATTTAAAAAGATGTCGGATTACTAGGTTGAAAGTTGTAAATTGTAATTAATCATCCAGCTTTCGTCATCCAGCGTTGTCTAACATATTATTTTATTAAATTGTATTAATTGTTATATATTTCTGAGGAAGAAGATTTACTTATACATATAATAATATAATATCATCAATCTTATTTATCCCTATTGCCAAAAGGTATATATATATAATTTTACAATATATTAAAAACGGGTTGTGTGCTATGAAAAATGTGTATTTATGCACTCTGAAAAATAAAATATATTGTGTGAACTTCACGGCGAGTGGCTACAGATATTCCGTATGGACTATGCTGTACGGTGTACACTCGACTAATGAACTGGAATCGGGTATTAGGGTTCTGAAATTTCACGAATACATTTTTAAAAAAAACAAATTTTATTTTAAAACTATAAAGTAGAAAGTACAGTAAACACCTCTATTTTTTTAAGTGTTAGTTATAAAAATATTACAGAAATATATCATACATGGTACATATTATAGTATTATACAAATTACATAATAATTATCTACCTTCTGTAATATATTATATAATATCTTCTTCATATTATTACCAGGAATTAAATATTGATGATCAATAATCAGGTATGAAATCAGTACGACCTTCGGGTTTCTTTTCAAACCGACAGTAGCTGCCTGCACCCAGAATGACGTCTGTTGGAAATTCCCATTTTGATAGTTTTGTAAATATTTTCTTATCGTTTGTACTTAGTACTCTACAATCGCCGTCCGCCTGTATCTGTAATTGGCGGTTGTGTATTTATACTTTATAGGCGATTTAATGGTGTTTAGAAAATAAGAATATAAACATTCAGTCAACTATTTACAGTTATTCGTTTTTGAATTACAACAAAATAACAAAATCGGTACATGAGATATCAAGAATATCCAGTGTTGTAAAAATATGAACCTCAAATGCTCATAAAAATTTAATTCGACTTTCCGGTAGAGATTTTTTTGTTGATAAAGGTAGACAAACTTATAAGAACTCTTGTAATAAATTTTCAAATCTTCGATTTAATTAGACATATCAGTTATATGTATATCAAAGTTATAGTAAATTGTATTTAAAATAAATATTGTATTGAAAAAATAGAGGTAGGTAGGTAGTCAATAAAATAATGTTAAATTGTGAAAATAATATTTTTAATATGACTCTAGTCACTTCATTTTATATGAATTTTGTTACATTTTAGATTCTGAGCGGAGCGATGAATTTGTGATTTATTTTTTATTTATTTCATAATTTTTTTATTTTTTTTAATTTTATTATTTTTGTGTCCGTCACCACATTTTAGGACAGTAAAAATGCTTAGACTTTCTTTAAAAGTTGTATCTTTTCTGATAGGGAAGTGAATCTAGTTGGTACTAACCTAGGTTATATTATATGAATTACTTTATTCACAATTATATCAATACATATACTTAGTACCTGACATCATAGGCAGACTGGCCGTTTTCGCTCAGAATCGTTTTTTTATACAACGATATTATTATACCATTGAATTCAAATTTAGCACCATCCATTACAGTGACCCACTTGTAACCTACTGTACAGCAGAGTGACATCCACTTACCCACCTTTTTTAAACTTCTATCTGCTGTGTCATAGAGTATGCATTAATTTTATATTTATAGAATAAAAATCTAATAGAATTGAAAACAGTAAATTAAAATGTTGATCATTATTATTTTGTTGACAATGAGAGTAATTTTATACAATAAAAATTGTTATGGTGGTTGCGAACGCCCCTTCGCCCCACCTCCCTTGGGGACGCGCCTGGAAACTCGAAAAACTGTCAAAAACGGGGAAAACTCGGCCGTCGAACCTCAATGTTCTAAAAATGATAAGGCGTCGGTGATAACGCAGCGACGGCTCCGCTGCCACCGGAAGACTGCCCCCTCGACCGATTCGATTTTTCATTGGCCGTCCGCTAAGTCTAGTTCAAAAGCTGCCTCCGCCTTGGGCACTATAAAAGGTTAGGTTACTATACGTCATATTTAGTGCTCTACTTAAAGTATATAATTTTATAGTTTGTTCATTATACACAGTTTACGTTGTTTTGCTCGAGTGAATGTGCCGATACCGCGATTTGCACTAGTACAATGTTAATGTACATGGTATTTGTAATGGCTGTGGTACGCGTGGGAACCGATACTACACCTTTTACGGATAAGGAACTCATCAAGAATTTTAATTCAGTGAAGGATCTTGTTCAAATTAACTTGAATTTAACGCTGCAGTCAGGATCGGCTCCCTGTGGCTTTGATACCAATACCAACTTGTCGAAATGGACATCCATAATTGATTATATAAAAAAAACCAGTATGAGAGGGGTACACAATTCGGTCAAGAAAAAATTTAGTTTAACAGACCCATGCTCGTCTGAAAATGAAGAGAATATGTTAAAAGCAAAGTACAAATTGTATGTAAATTACAACGGGTCGAGTTTTGACATCGAGTTGAACATTAGCATGGTGTACATAGGAGGCTATCAAAGATATCAGATTTGCCCAGGAAGTTCATCATTAAACAATAACTTAAAAAATAAACAAGAAATTATATTCTCCACCACATACCACTCAAGGATGTTTCATAAGATCATGGTCGTTTACAAAAGTAGCTGGAACGGTTACCTAGTGATTGAGGTTTTTCCTACTATAGTAACAGTTGTGATATATCCACCTAGTGGTAAAGCAATTTATGAAGATTACGAATTGGAATTTTTCATTCTAGAAGTATTTCAAGACATCGAAGATATATGTGCGACTTTTAAGTAAAAAAAGTTTAAAGTTTAAAAATTAGTTTGTTATTTTTTCGTTTAAAATGTATCAATTTAGTCATGTAAATTGTGAATATACTTATCTAATATTACTTATAGACATTAATTAACGTTAAATTGCTTATTATTTATTATTACTGGTCTTAGAAATCTATCGTCACGACCTTGTACCAATGTATAATAAAATAAATTGTATTAAACATTTATAAATAAAATCTTCAGATTCCGATAAGTCAAACGATGAAATGAATTGTCCACTTTGTTATTTCATATTCACCATGTTATTTAAAAATAAATCCAGACAAATCTGTTTATGTACCATTTACTTTAAAAAGAACAGAACCCCCCCCTCCTGTTCACTTTCAAGGTACTCAAATTCCATCATCTCCAAATGTAAAGTATCTTGGAATTACCATTGATAAAAGATTAACCTGGGGCCCACACCTTAAACAAAAAAGAAAAACCCTCAACAGCCGCCTTCACCTACTTCGTCCGATTTTAAAGTCAAAACTTCCAGTGCACACCAAACTTATAATGTATAAATCTCTCTTGCGTCCAATATGGGCATATGCAATCCAAATTTGGGGCAGTGCTAAGCCGTCCCAAATTCGCACGGTACAAGATTTCCAGTCCATTACCCTCCGTATGATAACTTCTGCTCCTTGGTTTGTTTCCAACTATTCACTACACTCTGACCTAAAAATCGAGTCAGTTGACCAATTAGCCACCAAACATTACAGATCTTTCTATTACAAACTACCTTCCCATACTAACCCGTTAGTATCGCAAATCTCATCTACTGAACCCATAAATCCTATCCATAGGCTCAAAAGAAAATACTGCAGAGATTTGTTAATCTAAAATAAATTCACGTTGGGTTCCATCACTGGTTGGCCTCCCTCTTCATATTATTCAAAGTTAAAAATGTACATAAATTATCCAATTTATTTATTGTGATGTCAATCACAGATTGTAAATATCAAATAAATAATAAAAAAAAATAAAGTTCATTTTGTCATTATCAATCTATTATTAGAGTAGACATTAATATTGTATTATAAAATCGACACTGGAAAAAGTCTAAACAGTTAAGACAATTTTTAATAATTTTTAAAAAATTGCAAAATTAATTAGGTATTTTAATTTTTGGAAATATTTCATATTTGTTATATTATACATTTTGTAATTTTTCAAATGTATTATGTAAAACTATTGTTTTAAATTCATTTTTTTTTTCGCTACCATAAATATTCTTTGAGCGGTAGTTGATAATTGGTTTAAATTATGTGGTGTTTTATTTTATTTCAGTATTATAAGAATGCCAAAATCACATTCCTTGTAATACACTTATATAATATTTCAATGTATTGATGTTACAGGTTAAAATAATATGCACAGAGTTCAGTCGTACAGTAGGACGGATTTAAGTACTATTAATTTTATATTTTAAATTAATAAATACAAATCTCTGTAATTGGTAGAAACAAATAAAAAATAATAAATTAAAACATATAATATTTCAAATTTCGTACTATTATGACGTAATTTTAATATCTATCCCGCGCCTGTTATTTATTCACAATCCAACACGATCGAACCTTCCATAGCTAGTCCCACGAGAGATCATGCTGGTTCCCCAGCGCGACACCCTGTCAAAGGGGAACCAGTTTCGACAGCAGCGTGACGTAGGGGGATGCGCAGAACCGGCATGTTCTCTCGTGGGACAGGGTATATTTATATTAACCTTGGCTGAGTTCAACATCTGATATCCTGATATTGATATACACTGCAGATATAGACAAGATATAGTCATAGATATGGACAAGTTAGCTATAATATTGGATAGCAGTGGCGCAACCAGAATTTTTTCAAGGGGAGGGTCCATACTTGTTAATACATATTATAGACATTTTAACCACGGACTAAGAAAAAAATCTTATACCTATAATCTGTATACATGCAATACATTTTTCATGAAAATATCAATGTTAAATAATATTTTAAAATTTGAGAAAATACATATTATACTTGTATTACTATTTTTGTAATTACAAAAAAAAGTAAAATAATTCATAATATAAAATCTAAACGACGTTTCGAATTAGCTAGGTAACGTATTATTCTAATTCAGATGTTATGCCTACTGACGTCAAAATGAATATTTAGAGCACATATAGTGGCCAGAAAAATAAAATAAAAATACGGGACACTTATTAATACAATATTCATATATAAATTACCCTAAACCCAACTAAATATAACATAATACAAATTAAATGCAGCTATGTACAATGCAGCTGATGATGTCAATAAATGTTTTTTTTTAATTTTTGCCTATGCTGTTTTAGATCTGCCACCGCCCACCATGTTCTATAGAATATACCGATTTACATATAGTAAGAAAAGATTTATGTATTTTTGTTGCTATAATAATAGTTTGTGTAGAATTTTATTATTCTAAATTAAATAGATAAAAAAAATAATCTTATATAGGTATGCTCCAAGGAGGGGTCCAGACCCGGGGACCTCCCCTGGCTGCGCCACTGCTGGATAGTGGGTAATATAAGTACCTCACTACGTTTTAGAGTGTCTGAGACCTGAGTGTACCCTATTTTTTGGATACACACGGTTATAATATTATCTGTGGTTATAACTTCTATTATACGCAGAGGATTGTCCGTGATTCTTATTCTTGAGTATTTAGCGACGAGCTTACTCATAGTGTCCTAGCTCACATTCTCACAAGTCACATCATATTTATTATTTAAAGCTCTCGCTTGAGTAAATATTTTAACAATAGTACAATACATTTACATAAATCATTTAAATCTTTTACATAAGTTAGTTACTATTGTACAACATGTCTCGTCACATTTATATTTATAACCTTATTCGTTTTTAAAATTCATATAAAATAATATTACGAAATATGATATTATGTATTTTTTTAAACAATATAATTTTTTACTACTAGATCTAATATATTTTACAAAAATATACACTATAATTAATAATATTTCTTTGTGAACGTAGTCCTTTTAGAAACAGAATCTGTTATATCTGTTATATCTGATACATTGTGAACTTGGTAGGATTGGTTGAATATTGGTCTGATTGGTTTAGGTGGTTGAACTAGTTTAATTGGTTGAACTGGTCTAGTTGGTTGAATTGGTCTAGTTGGTTGAACTGGTCTAGTTGGTTGAACTGGTCTAGTTGGTCTCTTTGGTTTATTCGGCGGTCTTTGGCTTCCATCAAAAGTAGAATCTGTTTTATTACTTGGACTTGTGTTATTATTATTAAGCAATAAAATGTCCAATTCCGTAGAGTTGAGGTACTGTACACTACCATTAACTGTATGTAAAGTAATGACATTTCCATTGCCAAATTTTGATAAATCCGTTTCAATTGTAAAGTTAATTGTACCATTTTGATTTATAGCGTCAGAGTTCACAGATATATTCGTATTATTAACGGATAGGTTTGATCTTACATGTCCGGTATTAGGATGATTAGGATCAGAATTTTTACTATCAATATTAAGTTTAAACCCTTTATCTAATGAAATAGTTTGATTCATATAATTTGTAGATCTTTTGTGGATCTTTATGGCATCAGATACATACCTAAGAGAGGGTAATACATTAACGTTTGTATCAATAGCAATAGGCATGCTTGTAACGGCGATGACATTTTTGTCATAAACGTAATTTGTTTTATTGAACAAATGAGCATACACAGTTGTATTAAAATCTATATTACCATAATCTGCACGTTTGTTGAGTGTTGAAGTGTTTACATAATCTTCATTACGATTTCGTTTCAGTTTTTCGAGCATTTGGGCATGTTGAATATACATGTTTGTCATCGATTCTTTAATTCTATCCTCTTCATTTAGATTCAATTTTTCAATTTTAGTACGTATTTTAAGTTCATCTTGAAATCCACAATATTTCTTTCTTTTATACTCATCATTTGTGTCACTTTTTATTATATGAATACAAATAAATGTAATAATAAAAACTGTTAATTTATTTTTACACATTTTAACTTTTAATTAGAATCACAAAAAACGCTTATTACAGACAAGTAACCACACTAAAAATAAATATAAGACAAAAACTATTTGTAAATTACATATGTACACTTACGCCAATATCAGAGAACTGATGTATTTCATATTGCAGGAGTTGAGATTAAAATAGTACTCTAACTTATACTGTTAACCTTTTGACTTTTAACTTATAATCACCATGATATTATCATATTATGCGCCTTTCTTTGTGATAGTGGCGTACTGGCGTACTGGCGTACTGGCGTACCTACCTAAGTATGTAACAATAGTAACAATTCGATTTAATGCGAATTTATTTTTAGAGTTTTAAATGAACATTTACTAGTACGAAAACAGAATATATTATATTATATATATATATATATATAATAATTTATTAAAATGTTATTCTCAAAGGTGGGGATTAACTTGTTAAAAAGTTAAAGTTAAGTTAAAAAGTTAATTTTTTTTTAAGTTTTTATCTTAACTAGTTAATTATTTTTGTTTTTAACTTATTAACTTATTCAGTTAAAATGTTTATTGTTGTAACTTAACTTTTTTATAGTTAATTATCATTGTCACGCAGTTAAGTTAATTTTCTTTTCGAGTCATGCGTAATCAACTAGGAAATACTGATTCGTCGACTTTTTTAAGATTTTGGTAATTTATTTTCGAATTATATATCATAAAAGTTTAATTTTTTACACAGTGTTAAATGTCTTGGTAAATGTTTGTGTATATAAAATACTAAGGTAGTTTATGACTTAAAAATATTGTACCTTCAAAAAAATTAACTTTTTTTTCTGAGATAAGTTAATTTTATTTTCTATCTTAACTTTAAGTTTATCTAGGTAGTTAAATTTTTTTTCTTTGTTAACTTTTAACTTAACTGAAGGCAATTTAATTGAATTAACTTAACTTGCCACAATTAATTATTCAAATCTTAGATTTAAAAAGAAACATTTTTAAGAATTTCTAACTCGAAATAATTTTACTAATTTTCGTGATTTTTCTATATTTTGTCAATTTTTAAACTTTAAATGCTTATAAAAAATAAACTGTGAGTAATAATTTTTAATATTTCTTATCTGCCTTTGAAACAATATAGTAGGAGCACTGTATTTAATTTTCAAGTATTTTTATTCAACAAATACATTTTTATTGATATTCATAAAAAAAATAACTAATAAAATTGAAAACTGAAAATGGCCCTAAACAGTTCAAAATAAATCAAAATATTTTAAAAATGTTATCATGTATAGAAATTGCAAATATAAACAACCAGTGAAAATTGCATGTATCTACAGTCATTTGTTTTATAGTTCACCAAAAACCAAAATTGATTTTTTCATGTTTTCAACAGATTTTGTGCAAAAATTTCCGTTTTTCCTTAATTTTTCTTTTGTTTTTCACGACGCTTTTTAAAACTAGTGGACAAATTTTACTTTTGACCACCCAAAATAACAACTAAATTCACTTTCTTATCAGAAAAGATACTGTTGAAGAAAATCCAAACGATAGGAAAATATATACAATAGTATAAAAATCGGAATTTCCAACAGACGTCATTCTGGGCATTTGGGTTAACCCGCCGCTGTCGATTCGAAAAAAAAACCCGAAGGTCGTACTGATTTCAAGCATGATTATTGATTATAAATATATTTTAATTCCTGGTCATAATATAAAGAAGATATTATATATACTACATATATATGATTGATAATTATTATGCAATTTGTATAATGTACTATATACTACTATGTATGATATATATTTCTATAATATTTTTAATTATCACCTACAAAATTAGACGTGTTTTATGTAATTTCTACTATAGTTTTAAATTAAAATTTGTTTTTTTATCTTTGATATGAAATATTTCATGAAAGTTTTGTGAAATATTTCTTAAAATTATATTACCTTAAATATTCTGTATTTAGAATATATATTTTTTTTAATTATGATTTTGTGGAAAACTGATTTTGCCTAGAAATTTCCGTTTTTCCTTAATTTTTCTTTTGTTTTTCAAGACGCTTTTGAAAACTAATGAAAAAATTTACTTTTGACCACCCAAAATACCAACTAGATTCACTTTCCTATCAGAAAATATACTGTTGAAAAAAATTGAAACAGTTTTACTGCCCTAAACCATGATGACAGACACAAAAACAAAAAATAAAAAATAAAAAAACACACATCATTGTAAAATCAATACATTCATCGATCCACTCAGAATCTAAAATTAAAAGTACAGTAAGTTGAATCTCAATTTTTCAAATATTATACTGAAATGAAATAATATTATATTATGAATGAGTTAATATTTTTAAAATTAACTTATTCCTGTTTATGAAATCTAACATCTTAAATGATTTTTTACTAAAATATTAATATGTAATTATATACACTACAATTACCAATTTTATAATAAAAGACAATAGACATAGCTAATAACATTGTCTAGAAAAAAAAAAGTAATAGGTATAACCGCAATTATTTATATCTAGCGGGAAGTAATTTCGATAACTATTATATAAGTAACAAATTTGTTTAGACTTTACTGTAAGATTAGAGGATCATTTAATAGTCACTGGAGTGAATTGACTTCTTATAAAATTAAAAGTTAAGATTATCTGGGAAATATCATAGGGTTTTTTATTATATTTTAATTTTAAAGCGAGTTAGGAGTATATTTATTATTTTATGATGTACAATTATATATACATATAAGTATTTGCAGATTTTCTTTGTGGATTTTGGATTTAATTCAATAGTACAATTAGGTATAGCTTTGGGGATTTTTTTTCCGGAGATTCTTTTTCCGATTACCCTATGCGCTATGCCATAAAACCTATACTAAAGAGTAAAGCCAGACTATAACTAATAAGACAACTGATAAGCAAATAACATAACGGGTGTCGTACTGTCGTGTGTACCTATATACGTGAATTTCGATGTATGGTGTAAATATAACTATTGACGTCTTGATAGGTTATCTATTGTAAGATTTAAAGTCTAGTTATAATACCTAACTTAATATACCTAGTCTATTTTATTATGATTCATAACAATATCATGACATGATAATAAATAATAATATAAATTTATTATTTCACATACCTCAAAAATTTAACGTAACTTTGTACTATATATATCATACATAGTAGTTTAGTTCATACTAAACATTATACAAATAATTATCTATCTTATATATTCGCACTTCGCAAATTAGTTAATGCCCCTCCCTATGTCTCTAACCACACTATACATAAAGACCTTAAAATTCCGTCAGTCTCTGAAGAAGCTAAAGCATATTATAAACGTTTCCATTTCCGCACTTTAGCCCATCCCAATCCTCTTGTCAGAAATCTTGCCAATCCTATTATCCCTGGTAACCCGCCGAGACGGTTGAAACGGAAATGGTGTCGTGATCTATTGCTACCTAATATTAATATAAATATTAATTGAAAAAAAAAAAAAAAAAAAAACTGAAAATATAAAAAAAAATGTAAGGCAAATTGAAGTGTTACTAATGGGTGGCTGCTTTCCTCAAAAATTTTTTCACGTATTATGTACAAATATTATTAGATTATTATTATTAAGGATATGATGTATATTTTTTAAATTATTTGTATATGACTAATCTCATTCACATCTACTTATGGCACCATGTGGTATAGATCGTAGATTGCATTTAAAAAAAAAAAAAAAAAATCTTATATATATACAGTGTGTCCCAAAAGTCCCGTATCACCCTTAATATCTCCATGTAAAATCATTATATTTAAACGCGGTTTTTTTTACAGTACTAAGTATGAAAATTCTGATTGAATGGCATAAAATTCATTTATTTTTTTCTTTAAATTCAAAAATTTTCAAAAAAATTTTTTACGCATTTAAGAATTTAAAATTTTTAAGATAGCCATTTTGTTGAGCATATTTTTTAAAACAGTTCAAAAAAAAAAAATACTAAAATTAAATAAAAATTGACCAAGTTAGAGCAAGTTATGTTTTTGAATAATTGTAGTAAAAAAATAAATTATTGTTTCACATTTCAATAATGAAATATCTAATTTCAGCACACGACCATACTTTTACATTCTTAATTAATTTTTTTACTACAATTATTCAAAAACATAACTTGCTCTAACTTGGTCAATTTTTATTAAATTTTAGTATTTTTTTTTTTGAACTGTTTTAAAAAATATGCTCAACAAAATGGCTATCTTAAAAATTTTAAATTCTTAAATGCGTAAAAAATTTTTTTGAAAATTTTTGAATTTAAGGAAAAAAATAAATGAATTTTATGCCATTCAATCAGAATTTTCATACTTAGTACTGTAAATAAAACCGCGTTTAAATATAGTGATTTTACATGGAGATATTAAGGGTGATACGGGACTTTTGGGACATACTGTATAATATCTTCTTTTTATGACTTTATATGACTAAATAAAATAAAATGACCGGGAATTAAATATTGATAATCAATATTTATGAAATCAGTGCGACCTTCTTGTTTCTTTTCAAATCAAGAGCGAAAAGGTTAACCCTGAATTAGCAGAATGACGTCTGTTGGAAATTCCGATTTTGATGTTATTGTACATTTTTTCCTATCGTTTGTACTTTGTAACTGTAATCTGTCTACCTGCATCTGCCGGTGCACACGAATTGCGTGATATGTCAGATAACTGGTTAACGAACCTTTTTGATATTATACTTTCACCTACAGTTAATACTTAATTCTTATAAGTTCCTAATGTGAATATGTGATATTGCAATAATACAGGTAGGTCAGGCAAAATCAGCACCGGCTTGAAGGCAGTTCGAGCTGTGCAGCGGCACAGGGGCACAGGGCCCCACGCATTGAAAGGCCCCGGGGGCCGCGTTCTGATGCAAAAATAAAGTATCGGATATTAATTTAAAACGGATTAAAAACAGATGGGTTTGACCACCATATCACTATTCGTCAAAGACGTATACGTTTTTACCAAGGTGTATCAACACTATGGTTTTTACCCGTCCTTCGTAAACCTACCTATATAGTATGGGCGTGAACTCTTTTATTCGTACCCGTGAATACGACATAGACAAAACGCGTTTACCTTTACACAGTCTGAGTAGAACTCGCTCAATTTTGGTTCTAGACAGTGTTGGTGTTGTAATAGTCAAGGTTTAGGACCACACAAGCATATAATATTATTATTACAGTATTGCGCATGGTGTACGTGGCACAATATATTAATTACTATTAATAAGTGCCACAATGAAAAGTTAGTTTCTAAAGTACTAAAAGAGCCATACCAAATACTTAAGTGGGACCTTGTAAAAGACCATGTAATCTGACTGTTGTCTAATATATAAAGGTGCTCCGAGAGGGAGACCAGACACACTATTTCTGCGTGACGACTATTTGACAGTATTCATGCTAGAGATATTTGTCTTAAATTGTAACATTACTCTGAGTGCTTAAAAAAGTATTAAATACTAACCTTTGGTCAATAAATTCATAATAATAATTAATTTGACTACGTGTTACTTCATTTAATTCGACCTTTGTCAACCGTGCTCCACAACTGGACCACAACATCAGTGTATTTTTTCATTTTTGAAAAAAAAAAAACCAAAAAACTGTATTTTTTATTTCAAACTGTTTACAACGATGTTTTAAACAAAATAAATTGTTTGAGTTTTAAACAATTAAAACAGTGTTTTCAATAGTATATTTAAATTAATAACTTAATTTTAGTTTAATATGTACTAGTATATAATTATGTTTCACTGTTTATTCATTACTTATTTTAATCTTACAAGTATTTGAAATGTATTTTAAATATTTTCTGAATGGATGTTTATAAGGATATTATATTTTGTATATATTAACTACCTAATAACTATTAAGTAAGAACATTTTAATTTTGGTAATTTATTCAACAAAATAAAAAAATTAAATTAAAATGAAGAATGCAGGTAATTGAAATAATTATTTAATACATTAACTTTTTTTCTGAAGGATATCTATTATTATTTATTATTGATAATAAACAAAAAAAAACATAATTTTAACTTGGATTTTACACCGTTTCAAACAATGCAAAAAAAATTATTTTTAAAAAACACCCTTTTCTAAAAAAACAAAAAATAATGAAAAATTTAAAAGTGTGTGGTATAATATGTCAAGTTTAAGAGCGCCACACACTTTTAAATTTTTCATTATTTTTTTGTTTTTTTAGAAAAGGGTGTTTTTTAAAAATAATTTTTTAATTTTTTATTTTCTACTTTTTAGTTAAAAAAATTTTTTTACGGATTATTGTATTGTCATCCAAGACCAAGGTCTATACAAATTTTCAGAATTTTTCATCTTCAAAAAGTGCCTCAAATCGAGCGCGCAAGATTTGATCACAGACAGACGTGTAACCAAACTTAAGAAAAGTGTTAAAAACAGGGTAATTATACCTATTTATTTAGTCATAGAGTAGATGGAGTATATGGAGTAGCGCTAGCGTCTGTTAATAGTATAAACATTAACATTTTAAATATTGATTAGAATGCGTTATTTCATTTGTCAGGACTTTCTGTTACACAGTATACCTATACTATAAAACTATATAATGTAACTCATAAAGTATGGAATACGATCAGTTCTTCAATATTTGGCGGATGTGCGTGTTAATTATTAGTTGTTTTTGTATTTTTTTTTCATTGTACGTTTGTCTGTGATAAGCGTTTTTTGTTGTTCTAATTAAACGTTAAAATGTGTAAAAATAAATTAACCGTTTTTATTATTACATTCATTTGTATGATTTTTAACTCAATATGTGAAAATTCAGTTGATCAAACACTAATAAAAAAAATATTAGAAGAAAATAAAAAATTGGCAAATTCAGAAACCAAAAGACTAGAATTACAATCCAAACGTTTAGATTTGGAAAGAATGAAAAAGGAATATGCACAGGTAAAAGAAAATTATAAACGTAATTTAGAAACGTTGACAAGAACCAATAACCAACACATCCAAATGATGAATGAAACGGGACTAAATAAGAATAGAATTCTAATAATCGACAATGTGGAAATAGAAGCTCAGAATGCCTCAATAGAATTCAATAGCGCTATAGAAGCCAATAAAATTCTCAAGAAGGAAAACACAGAATCTCCTATAACTATTATTGTAGGGGTTAATATTTCATCCAACAATTCGGACATAAAGGGTAACTTAAATATTCAAAGAAGATCTACGGATTATATGAATCAAAATATCTCATTAGATGACCGGATTAAACGGGATAAACTTAATTTTGATGGTCGATGGAAGAAATTTTAATCAAAATCAACCTAATATCCGACACGTTAATTATACTTTTGACATTGATGTATCAAAACCTGGTGACAAAGATGTCAATATTTTACATACAATTTATTAATGGTAGTGTACAGTAACTCAACTCTACGGAAATGGACATTTTATTGCATAATAATAAGAACAAAATTCCAGAAAACCCTAATTATACGAGACGAGCCGTGGGATGAAAAATTAAGACGTTAATTTCTTATTTTTGTTTTTTGGAAATAAACCAGTAACGGATCGCACATATTATGATGAACACAAGATTCCAGAACCGCACGTGAAAACATTTCAACCGCGTCCACCCGTAGTAAGAAATACACCAAGAAATACCTAAAATTCATTATTATTAATTATAATTTATAATCTGTAGTCAATTATAATAAAATATACACGAGATTCATTACTGATTAAAATTACATTTTTTTTTTTTAAATTGTTTGGTCAAACAGAAATATACAGCCTTTTAAAAGTGTTTATGCTATGCTAAGCAGTGGCTTAATTACGCGGACTTGGGTGTTGTATCCACCCTGACTTTTTTTAAGAATGGAAAATCTTATTTTAGAACTTATTTAACTATAAATATTCTTATTTATAGGTATTAATTAGGTACTAAACTATAGTATATTTTATAGAAATAATACATAAAAACACTAATCACTATTGCAAAAATATATTGAAATACGGCTCATAATGATAAGTTAGCATCTAAGTGTTTTTTGAAAACCTATGTATTTTATAGAGTTAAGAGGACGTCGTACCCGCATGTGTTATCTCCGTCGACATAGGTAGTAAATTTTCTTTCACCTGTTTCAATAATGTGCTGTACGCCTGTACTGCTGTTAGTTTTGACATTAGAGTAAATTGGACAATTTATTATAAAATTTAAAGGTAAGGTATTATTTTTATAAGTCGTAAGTTATGACTTTTTTGAAACTGTGCCTACATTCTTTATTTACGATCAGGTGTTATAAGCATTTAAAGTTTAAATTTTAACAACATTTGTAAATTATTTTGTGGAATTAGATAATATTTAAATGGAAAATAACGATCTTAGTTATTTTTTATAGGTAAAAACAGTATTCGTGGGTACTTGAAACATTTAAAGCATATTATAATATTTTATACAACACAATAACGTTTTCAAATACAATATTTTCGGAAAAAAAATAATTCAATGTACTGCGTATTGCTAATAGTAAAATTTTTTTGTAATGGAGCTTGAGCACGGCAACTTAAGCCGAGTTTGAAACACGTTTTGAATGTGTGGCATAGATTCGTTGCTAAAAATACCGAGTGGTCACCCATCTAGGAACTAGCAACGCCGGTTTATGACAATTCCTTAACATTTTTAATTAATCAAAAATAATAGTAATAACAAGAGCTAGAATTTTGGTGCCTTTTGCATTTTTTTTCTGTAAGTGCTATACAATTCTAAATCCTAATTCACTAAATTTGTTTCGTGATATAATAATTTAGAACATGTAATTTTTATTTTGGATTTTTTGTGTTATAAATGCACTTTATTGCATTTTTACATAATAGATATTACAAATATTACGTTCATTTTGTGTATCTTAACAAATTTTTGTTTATTTTAAGCTTTTTTGATATGTGTTGTAATGGTAATCCCAATTAGTACCTATAGGCAAATTACCTACTCCAGTCCATTGATATTGAAAAAGTAATATAAGATTAAATATCGAACGAACCCAAAACTATAAAGATTGGTTTATAATAGTAGCTTTAGTAGTGAATACGACACGTAACTATGTGGTTCTACACCGATCTTAACTGTACACAATACTGAACAAATAATATTACGACTAATATTAAAAATTGATTTTAAAACTTTAAAAATGACAAAAATTAAGTCAACAGTAGGAAGCCGTTTACGTAGTTTTGTGAGTGAGTTTGGTGCCGATATTTTTTCTACGGACGGTATATGGTGCTTTTTTGTAAAGTTTGTAATGTTGCAGTTGCCTCCGAAAAGAAATTTACAATTCAACTACATATCAGTCGAGATAAGCATGCTCGTGGAATTCAACTAAAACTGAATGAAGTGAAACAAAATAATCAAGTACTATTATCTAATTTAACAAATAATAGTGATCAATAGTCATTTAATTTAGAGCTTTGTGAAACATTATTAGCAGCTAATATTCTACTTGCTAAATTAAATAACACAAATTTTAGAAATTTTTTAGAAAAAAAATATAAATTGCGTAAAAATTATATTGAAAAAGGTGGGCAAGTGGGTGTCGCTCTGCTGTACAGTAGGTTACAAGTGGGTCACTGTATAATGGATGATATTAAATTTTAATTCAACGATATAATATCATTGTATAAGAAAAACGATTCTGAGCGGAGACTTTTGACCCCCCAAAGTACCAACTAGATTCACTTTCCTATCAGAAAAGCTACTGATGAAGAAAATCCAAGCACTTTTACTGTCCTAAAACGTGATGACAGACACAAAAAAGAATCTAAAATGCTATTTAAATAAAATACGAAATATTAGACACTATGTAGGCGATAACTAATAACAAATGTTCATAGAAGCCTCCTAGTATATTGTTTCAAAGTCAGATGAAAAATATTAAAAATCCTTAATCACAGTTTTTTTTTTATAAGCATTTAAAGTTCAAAAATTGACAAAATATGGAAAAATCACGAAAATTAGTAAATTATTTTGCGTTAAGAATTCGTAAAAATTTTTATTTTTAAACCTAAAATTTAAAAATGTAATACAAGATTACTCATAAGTCATAAGTTTGTCTACCTTTAACAATAAAAAAGTCTCTACCGGAAAGTCAAATTAAATTTTTATAAGCGTTTAAAGTTCATAATTTTACAATATTGGATATTCACTTGATTTCTCAAGTAGCGATTTCCTTATTTTGTTGTAATTCAAAAACGAATAACTGTAGATACATGAAAATTTCACTGAATGTTTATATTAGCATTTCCATTACACCATACAATTTTGAAAATATTTTGACTCTTTTTGAGCTGTTTACGGACATCTTCATCAATTTTTTTAGTTTTTTTTTCTATAAATATCAATAAAGTTTTATCTGTTGGGCCAAAAAGTGTAAAAATTTAATAAAAGGCTCCTGATATATTGTCACAATAGCAATTTAAAAATATTAAAAATACATAGGCTCAATTTTTTTTATAAGCATTTAAAGATCGAATTTTGACGAAATTTATCAAAATCTCGAACATTATCAATCATTGTAATTAATAAATTATAAAATGTTCAACTTTTATATCTAAGGATTGAAATTTAAAACAAGATTCTACGAAAGTAGTTAATTCTATTACCAAAAAATCTAAAAAATACACAAGTACAGTTTATTTTTATAGTCAATTTAAGTTCAAATTTGGACGAAATTACATATTAAAAACCTAGAATAACTGTTTTAGTTATTTTGTTGTGATTGTATAATATTATTCGTAGGTACTTGAAACTTCTAAAGTGTACTATACTATTATATTATATCTATGAATTATGATAGTATCAGGGTTTATTGTTGATGTATAACCCGTTATAAGTACCTAATGGATATTGTGATATGATTAATTTTGAATTTATTATAGGTCAATTTTTTTTTAATACCATAGATATGGTAATAGGTTATTTTATATAAGTTATAAATTTGTCTTATGATTTTTTTTTGTCTTATCAAACGATGTTTGAATTTGCATATTTTTGCATATTGTAGGATAAGTGTATATTTGAGCGATTTTTCGTATATTTGTGCATATATTGAATTTTTTTAACTTAAATGTAGGTACTTACATACAACTGTCGAGAAAATTCATATTTGGACAACATTGAAAAATATCTTTAAAAAAGGTGGGTATGTGGATGTCGCTCTGCTGTACAGTAGGTTACAAGTGGGTCACTGTATAATGGATGCTATTAAATTTGAATTCAATGATACAATATCATTGTATAAGAAAAACGATTCTGAGCGAAGACGGTATGTCAGTCTAGGTTTAATACAAATTATATACATATCTATGGTATTAAAAAAAAAATTGACCTATAATAAATTCCAAATTAATCATATCACATTATCACAATATCCATTAGGTACTTATAACACGTTATACATCAACATCAACAACAAACCCTGATACTATCTTTTATATATAATAGTACACTTTAGAAGTTTCAAGTAGGTACCCACGAATAATATTATATAATCACAACAAAATAACTAGGTTTTTTAATATGTAATTTCGTCCAAATTTGAACATAAAATGACTATAAAAGTAAACTGTGATTGTATATTTTTTAGATTTTTCGGTAAGAGAATTAACTACTTACGTGGAATCTTGTTTTAAATTTTCAATCCTTAGCTATAAAAACTGAACATTTTATAATTTATTAATTACGATGATTAATAATTTTCGAGATTTTGAAAAATTCTATCAAAATTCGATGTTAAAATGCTTATAAAAAAAAATTGTGCCTATGTATTTTTAATATTTTTCAACTGATATTGTAACAATATATCAGGAGCCTTGTATTAAATTTTTACACTTTTGGCCCAACAGATAAAACTTAATTGATATTTATAGAAAAAAAAAACTAAAAAAATTGAAAACTGAAAATGTCCGTAAACGGCTCAAAAAGTGTCAAAATATTTTCAAAATTGTATGGTGTATAGGAAATGCTAATATAAACATTCAGTGAAATTTTCATGTATCTACAGTAATTCGTTTTTTAATTACAACAAAAAAAAGGAAATTGCCACATGAGAAATCGAGTGAATATCCAATGTTGTAAAAATTTGAATTTCAAACGCTCATAAAAATTTAATTTAACTGTCCGGTAGAGATTTTTTATTGATACAGGTAGACAAACTTATGAGTAATCTTGTATTACATTTTCAAATCTTAGATTTAAAAGGAAAAATTTTTACGAATTCTTAACTCAAAATAATTTGCTAATTTTCGTGATTTTT